ACAACAAAATCAAATTCACTTGTATTAACAACAAAAACAACTGACAACAAAATCAAATTCACTTGTACTAATGACAAACACCAAAGATAGCAAGCATACCCATATTCCATAAATCCTTTGTCTAGCCTTTCCATTGCAGTGGTATCAACATTATCTCTCACTTCCTCTGTCTGCACGCATTCTGCATTGGACTGCTGCAAGCATGAAGATGCAATCTCTAATGCATTAAGCTTTCCATTTGTATTCTTTGGTGTTTCCATTTTGTTATGTTGAATAGCTACAGAATGATTGCCCAAAGCCTCCTCCATCAAATCACGAGTCTTGAGTGAAATGAAAACTTACAGCAGAGCTAGCAACAAACCTAAACACCTGCACATAAGAATAAATTTAGCTCAATAAATCTAAAACTCAAAAAGGCATATTTAGTCAGCCGATCAAGCCAGGCAAACACCGCATCCTATTGTTGCTTTCTTGTATACTGCTGCAGACCAATTGAAATCAGCAAGAACACAATCCACTAATGTTGAAGGGCTCCATTCAGCATAACTCCAATAGAAGGATTCATCAGAACAATCAGAGATATAATAATTATAATGAAGCATTGAAGAACTCCAGAGTCTCCAGCTGCCACTATTAACCAATAGTAGTACATGATCACTCGGTTTGCTTGAAGCAGTGCTGAGACCATTTTGAGCTAAACTGAGGACCAGCAGCAGATTCGCCCCAACCTCTGGTAAAAGCAATATATCACAAAATCAAGCCCATAGGTGGTAGGAAAATCATACAGGAAAAAAATTACAAAGGATCGGAGAAGTTTACTGTTCCAGTCACCCACTGTGGATAAGGTGACAAGCCTACCTCGAGTTCCTGGAGATGCACAAAATCTTCTTTGATCACTGAATCTTACCCACATGACTAAACTTCATTCTAATCCACATGTCAGAGCGCTTTCTCCAATCAAACTGCTTTAATTGGATGAGTCTTAGTTAATTTTTCCTTTGTTTAACAATTGGCAAGGCTGCATTCAGCCCATCCAAGAGGGAATTGGAATCATGGATGACCCCTTATCTACATATGGCAGTTCTATGTGGAAAGGAATTATGAAGACCTACAATACCATCTCAAAAGGGCTGTCTTACAAGCTGAAAGATGGTGGGAGATTGAACTTCTGGAAGGATAAATGGTGCAGACAGGCCCTGGAACAGGTTTTCCTTTAACTATTTCTGCTGGATGATAACAAAGAAGCTTCTGTGGCAGATTCATATCACGTGTTGGGAGGTAAAGTGGTCTGGTGACCCAGTTTTCAAGGAAACCTGCATGATTGGGAGATGGATAGCATGCTGCAGCTTCTCCAAACGTTGAGTAACCAGATAATTAGAGAAGGGCAGGAGGATGAGTGGAGCTGGAAATGGGAAAAATATAGGATCTTCTCCATAGGATCATTGATAGAAACCTGATACCCCCCCCCCAAAAAAAAAAAAAGAAACTCTAGGTTCCCTAGTAGTCTGATTTGGGGACTGATGAGGTTAGCTTTTTACTGTGGTCTGCTGTGATTGGAAAGTGCTTAACCAGAGATAGACTGCGGAGAAGTGGCTTGCAGATTCAAGATCAATGTTGTGGGATTTGTGGGCTGGATATAGAAAGTGTTGATCACCTTCTCATCCATTGTCAGCTAGCCCTAGGTCTTTGGCTGTATTTCTTGAGGGCGGCTAACTTTTTCTGGGTAATGCCTTAGTTTATGATTGGGCTGCTTTCTGCTAGGCAGTTGCAAGGTATATGTGCAGAAAAGGGAAGCTAATCTGGGGAATGGTGCCAGCAGCTGAAGCGTGGCCATTATGAGCTGAAAGAAATAAAAGGATCTTTGATATGTAGGACAGAGGAGGAACTCATTAGATTGTGCACCGGCAAGCTTGGATCATGGGCATCTGCGTCCAAGGAGTTTGTTCACCAGTCCACCTGGTAGCTCCTTTCCATTGATTCCTGGAATCTGTGACTTGTATGTGTGTTCTTTGGGGTTTATCCTTACCTTTTCCCAAAAAAAAAGTGGGTTCTTCGGGGTTGGTTTCATTTGCTTGTGGCTGGGCCCTGATTGCCTGCTGTATTATGTGCTATTTTCTATTTGAATAAAATTTACTTTATCATTCTCACAAGAAAAGAGTCAAGAACTTTGTGAATCCTGAGTTCCTGACCAAGTGACCATCTGCAGATCGTGGTAGATATAAACCTGCACGAAACATATCTATACGCTCCACCACTGTTCACCTTAAAAGTTCTGGTGTATAGGAGGTTAAAAGTCATGGGGCAGAATTATTTAGTTACCATAACACTTGAAACTCCTATATGCTGTAACTGCTAACAATTGATCATAATGTTCTTCCACTCTCTCATTCTATCAGGTTATGGGGGAAAAGAAACAATGCAGAATAAAGAATAAAATTCCAGCTTTGCATGTGCAAAATGCTGTTATCTGTTCAAGAGAAAATAAATTTCCTTACTGTTCTCTAATGGTAAGAGCAAAGAACTTCAATTGCATACTTTCTTTACAAGGAAAAATGATCATTGTCTACTACCTAGAGTACTAGCGATCTCAAATCTCAGTTCGAGCTTATTTATTAAAGCAAAAAAACTTTCAGGCATACCTAATGCCTGGACTAATAAAATTTTCAAGCCTAAAGACGCAAGTCAAAAACTAACTACAATTCCTGCAACCTCCAACTTAAAAGTATGTTGTTGTTAACAATACCAGGTTCAATGTTCTTCCAGATCACACTCTCCTAAAGCACTTTAAATTTCTTAACTCTGGATGGGTTCTCAGTAGAGGTACAGCTATTCTTCCGACATAGCCCTCAGAAAACAAAGATCAGGAAGTTTATTCTCTAGAAATACATAAACTGAATTTCTACACTTGCGGTCCTATTGCAAAGATTTAACTCTAGCACTACAACGACAAAATGCAAAGAACAAACAAAATCATCAAAAGAAAATCATAGAATTCAACAAAACAAGTGTATAATGAGGCAAATTTAAGCATACATAACACATTAAACTCCTATTTATCAACGAGATACTAAAAATTTGCTATTTGTCACGAACTTCATGTTAAGTTTTACAGAACATTGTGTCCTTACATATAAACAGCAGATCGCAAGCTAACACAGAACTTCATATTAACAGGCTTATTTCAACCAAAAAAGGAACCAGAGCACACGCAATTTCTTCAACAACAACAACAACCTGAGTTTTCGCCTAGAAACGAAAATAAAAAACTGTATCTGAAAAACAAAAACGAAAACTTAAAACCTCCACGATCAACGTAATCTAAGAGGTAAGAATCACAAAACACCTATATTCCTGCAACCTCCCTAAACTAGAATCTCGACAAAACATGCAGATTCTCAAGCTTCCACATAAAAGCTCCAAATCTACAAACTTTTCCGAAAAACAGTACCTAAACCGAATAAATTTTACAAAAACGATTCATCCGACAGGCGGAAAAGCAATGGTATAAAACTAAATTAAACAAATTTCCACAGATAAACGAACTTTCGATCTTCAGAGACGCAGTCGCCGATCGGTTAGAGAGAGAAATAGCAGGGATCAAATGGAGTCGAAATCTTCTTCGTCTCGGCTTCGCTTTTCCAAGTGTGAGCCAATGAGGACTGACAGAGAGATAATCAGATAAGATCGAAAGTTGTCTGATCGAATTGCTTTATATATGATTTTTATCGAGTATCCAGAGAGTTCGAAAGAGTGAGAAGAAAGCAAGCAGCCGGGAAATGAGAACCAGTGACAACGTAAAGTAGGCAGGTGTTTTGAAAGTGGATGCCGTATTGCCGTGTGTGTACGAGAGAGCGAGGGAGAGGGCGGAGCATTTATTTATAGATTGGCAAAATTTTCTGATTATTGTTGAATTTCTCGTAAAGTTTGATAATTGAAATCACCTCCCAAAATTTTCATCCATATATCTATACTATAAATTACCTCAATAATATTTCTGAAATTTTCTAAAGATAAAATTTATCCCATAAGAATAAATAAGGTAATCCGTAATTGATATTAAATGAGTTAAAAAAAAGGTAATTTAAAGATATTCAATGCATTTAATTCTCTCTCATTAAATCCAGCATTTAAGTGATTAACTTGTATTTATGTTCATTGAATCATATATTTAAGTCATTTTTATTTCTTCTCATCATTAAGTTCTATTAAATAAATTCATACTTAATAAATTAATAATTCCAATAATATAAAAGCTTATACTTTTAAAATCTACCTAGCAAAAATAGTGTTTTCATCTAGGTGGTGGTATGAAATTAAATCATTTTGGGTCAAATGGGTTAGTCCATGTTGTCACAATTAAATAATAAAATTAAACAATAGATAAAATGAAAAAAATATATAAATTAAAAAATTGGAAATATTTTTAATATACATATTAAACAATAATAAGTATGATAAATAATGAATATTTGTATTAATGGTGGAAATGGAATGTAAAATTTAAAACAATTGGAAATAAAAAATATTTTCTTATTCTCTCTCATTAAACCCTATATTTAAGATATATTTTTCTCATCATTAAATTATTATAATTAAATCCACAATATCAATTTAAATAGTAAAAAAATATTTTGAAAAGTAATTTGAAAACAAAACCATTTTCTTCCCTTCCGGTGGTGGGTAAGCAATTCAACCATTTTAGGTCAAATGGATTAATAAATAATGCAATAATTAAATAATAAAAAAATTAAAATAAATAACTATGAAATGTAAGAAGTATTTTTATTAATAAGGAAAATGGAATGCCAAATTCAAAATCTACCTTGAAATGAAAAGATGTCATAGTCAAATAATAAAATTTTTAATAATAGAAAATACAAAGAATTACAAAAAAGAAAGATATAAAAAATTTTGGGCACATATATAATGTTATATATTTATAAAAAATAAAATATTGGGTACATCTCAAATGTTGTGCATTCATTTATACATAAGGAATAATTTTATCAATTATGAAAATGTAATACAAAATTTAATGTCAATATAGAAATCAAACAACTTTTATTTTTATATGGTGGGTTAGCGTTTTGAGTCAAATGATACCATAGACAAACAAAAATTAAGTGTGATAAGTAAACAATATTTTATATAATGTAAATGAAATATATAATTTAAAGGGAAAATTATAGTCAAAGTCGGTTGTACATTCAAAATTAGGTTGTAAGTTGGTCAAAAAACCAACAAAACTTTGACAACCAGTTTTATATTTCAAAATATAAAAAACATTGCCATGTCATCGGAGGCTTATGTGGTTGTTGCCAACATGGGGCTCTTAGTCCATGTTGGACACAACAAAAAACCTATACTAAAAATAGGTTTTCAGTTTCTCTTCCACTCCCTATGTCTCTCGATCTCCCTTCCTTCTCTCTCACTCTCACAGTCATCTCTCGATCTCTTTCTCAACTTCAGTTTGTACCCAAATCAAAACCTCTCTCTCTCTCTCTCTCTCTCTCTCTCCCTCTCTCTCTTGGTCAATATCTCATTTTCCCTTAATCTTTATCATTCTCCAGTTAGTGTAAAATTCATAGCCAAGAGCTTATTGTGAATTTTTATCAAATTTGTGTAATAATTTTTGAACCATACCAAATTAGTCTTATGTTCTTTTATACAATTTGATTAATATCATATAAGTGTTTAAGAAAAAAAACAAGAGGGAGCAGGAGAGAAACTGAGAGAGAATGATAAAAATTAAGGGAGAATGACATATAAGTGTGTAAGAAGATAAAAAAAAAAAAAAAAAAAAAAAAACGAAGGAGGGAGTGGGAGAGAAACTGAGGGAGGAAGGAGGATGATAAAAATTAAGGGAGAATGAGAAATCGACCGAGAAAGAGAATGAGAGAGATTGAGGGAGAATGATAGGTAGAGAGAGAATGAGAGAAATTGATATAGAGAATGTAAATACAAAAACTAAAAACCATTTTTATTTATTTTCAAATCACGTAGTTGTTGAGTAGATAAAGATGATTAAAAACCTTTTTTTTTTCCAATCACCCAACATTAAAGGGCAATTTCAGTATAAGCTTTTTGTTGTGTCCAACATGGATTAAGAGTCCCATGTTGGCAACAAACACATAAGCCTCCGATGACATAGCGGGAGTTTTTATAATTTGAAATGTAGAGCCGGTTGTCAGAGTTTTGTTGGTTTATGGACCAACTTGTAACCTAATTTTAAATGTATACATTTCTAACTATAATTTTCCCTAATTCAAAACTAATCCAAAAGCAAAGCTATTTTCTAATTTAAATAGTGGGTCAGTGCTTCAACTTTTCAAAGAAACCATGATGTCATACTTGCATAATAAATATTTAAGTTTATTTTTAATTATATTGTTACTTTTGTTAATTTTCAATTTTTATCTTAACATGATATATCTAAAATTCAAATAATTAATATGAAGAAAAATTTATCATGTACGACCTCCTATGATAAAATTTTTTAAATAGAGGCATAAAAAATATTCAAAATACCCATATAACTGCTTTGACAAAAATATTTATTTTTTAAAGTTTCTCTTCATCATATAAATCACTATTCCAAAGTTTTGAGGAGGCAAAGCTCTCCAACTTTAAATCTTCTTTATTTTTCTTGTTCGCAAAATTTGTATTATTTTATCCCTCCCATAAAAAATCAGCCTCAACTTGTATCACAAAGTTTTGAGAGGTTTCAGCAATTTACCCTGATATAAATATCTCCGTGGAAAGTTGATAGCGAGGGGAAATCTCGGGTGCATCCGAAAACAATAAACACGTGGCAGAAAATCCGAGGCTGTGAAACTAAAGACTAAAGAGGCACAGACTGCTTTTCTGAGAAAGTGACGAGCGCTGGGAAGGAGATTTCAAACTACGTACCGAAGATAGATAGTGGGGTCGTGATTAACATGATATTCCAGATTCATGGCGATGCACTGGGAAATTTGGAATCATTTCAACATCCAAGGCCCCACCTCTGACAAATTAGGTGGGGAACACTGAACACATCATGTGTAAGGCTATAGCACGCGAAGACCGGTAACCTTGCCGCTTTGTCCCGACTAGTATTTGCCTTATTTGGAGAATCAGAAACTGCCCAACATAAAAAATTGCTTGGGTTCGAGTATGATATGGAAAAGGTATGAAATCCGAAAAACATCTGAGTTATTTGTCAAAATTTATGGATTGATTTTGATTGATCACCTGGCAAAAAGTTGATCTAATCCGCAAATCCGATCCAACCCAATTTCAAAAAAACTGGGTTGGGTTGGGTCATGGGTCAATCCGTTGGTCCGATTGTCAAGTTTAATTGAGATTATTTATGCATTATTAGAAGTTTTCACTCTTTATTTATTTTTATGTAGTCTTTACTTTTTATTATTTATTCTTTAAATTGTTAAATGTTTAAATTTTTATTTTATATTTGGAATTTTAAGGTTAATTCTTTTAATTTTGACATTTTTCTTTATTTTTTAAATTTCAATTATTTTTTGGGATGACCCAAATTGACCCATGGGTCAACCCTAACCGAACATTTAGGGTTAGGGTCTAGCATTTGACAACCCAACCCAAAATACATTGACCCAACCCGAACCTGACCCACCCAACCCGATTGCCAGTCTAATCAAAACTCTTTTCATACTATAGATTTTCCTTTTTTATGTTTATTATATATATATATATATATATATATATATATATATATATATATATTATATGTATGTATATGTAAAAGTTCAATTAGGCTTGTAAGCCTCATGAATTGAGTTTTATTGGGTTCAAGCTCGGTTTAGATCTAATCAAATTGATATTTTTATGAACTGAACTCGAATAATTCGTGAAAAGTTTAGCCCATAGACACCCTACAAGTAAGATGAACCCCTAAACCTTGGAATCGCCCTCAGTGAAGTCAATTCCAAGAATTTTGGAACCAAATCCTATCCAAGAATTGATTGGAATTCAAGGTCAGTTCCAATTGGTTTGGGGTAGAACTAACCCAATTGCTCACCCCTAATTTTAATTGATAAGAAAATAGTAAATTTCACCATTCTGGGCTCTCCTATTTTTTCACCAAAAATTGTTTTTTTTTTCCCGAGTAGGCCTTATTTCACAAAGTCAAAAGCAGCAACCTGAAACTATTCCCAAACAAGACTCTAGATCTGAATTTCTTATTTTCTCAATTTTCTGTTCTGCTATAAACAAAAGGTGGTGAAATTCTTCCTCCACTTTATGTTTCTCCATTATTTTTTATCAAACCAAACGAAGCCTTATGTTGAAGGTGTCAGATAGAAATCAGTGTAGCCCATTCAAAAAAAAAACTTATTTTCAATTATCCACCTTACTTTAGAAAGAAAGGCAGTGGAAAAAAATCAATGCATGATCTATGAAGCTCAGAGATTAGGGTTGAGTATTTTACCCCTAAGAACTTTATTATATACTAACAATATTGTTAAATTTAAGCTTTTTTTTAACTATTTTCAACGCCTATTTTATGGTGGCTGAAGTAGCTGAACTGAACTTACTGATTTGTCTTTTATTGCCGGATAAAATAGTTATATAACACAATATTTAAGGGATATGGTAGTCAACCCAATAGCACAATATGCCATTCAATCATCAAATTTGATTATTTTGTGTATAACATCTTTAACTTGAGTCTGTCATCATCCAATCAAATGGTTATGAAATTGGATGGATGTAAAATGTGTCTCGGATCCAATGGTTAACTCATTGAACAAAAATTCATCAACCTACACTTATGAATTTGTTCCATTTTATCACACATTGATTATGACTCTACCCTAGTCTGATCCCTTCAATAG